GTAGTCAAAGCATGAAGAAAATCAATGTGTGATTGTCCGTTGATTGTGTGGTGTGTAGCTAAGACATTCTGACATGACATCTAGTGACATGTCATGACATTAAGCATAAGAAGATATTATGATTACGATTATGATTAAACACATCATAATAATAATAATAAACATTCTGTCTCCTAACAGTCATCAACTTTCTATCTAGTTATCCTTGAACATTAACAACCTGGAGTCCCCCATGGGAATGACTAAGCATTTAACAGCCTGAGCTAGACATCCTGTCTACACTAAACATTTCTAATACATGAAGTGTCTAACCAATATCTGTCTGACTAAAAATACCCAACAATACTACTGCAGCCAGTACGAACAGCACAAACCCAGGAATCAACAATATGACCACAGCAGAGTGGTATTCGCAAAGAGTATAAATAATGGAACCAAAAGACAACAGAAGGTCTGTGGCTTTCCGTCCAGGTCAGCATGTCGTTGACCACAAACCAAAACATGTTGGTTTGACAATGAAGTTGCTCTTAATGCTACAAATGTTGCTGGCATTTTGACACATTAAGGAAAAATGACCATGTTTAAATAAATTATTTCCTGACACAGTCCTGTGTCCAGCCCCTGCACACATAACACAGAGGGGTGGACAAAGGAAAAGCAACACCCGTAAAATGTAATTTAAAACAAAGGCCCTGCCGTAACTGCTTTCATGTACTTTGTGTCCTTCTTTGAACTTTCACACACAAACAGATAAACACACATTCACAGTCACCACTGACAAACAAGCGATGCATGGAAACGTAAAGTATTGTTGTGGTTGGACCTTCAGTCTGAAGTGTGAAAAGCAAGGGTCTTCACATCCTGTCTCACTCTGTCTGTTTGTATTTAAAGAACGGGGCATAATTCCACAACAGTAGATGGTTTTTGATCACTTTTAATAATGTCACAACAACACAGAGAAGAGATTAAAGAGGGTGGGAGGGACACACACACACACACACACACACACACACACACCTGCTCTGTCATGTAATGTCATGACCATTTTCACTTGTCTTTGGTTTGATGCTTTTCACTGGCAGCTGCTGTGAGACGGGGACAGTTGCTCATCATTCATTGTTCCCACCTTAGTCTTTTTGGCAAAAGCACCACTTTGAACTTTGATCTTAACTTTGTTAGATTATCAACAAATATGTTTCATTATTGGTTAATGAATCAATACATTTACATTAAAATGAAAACAAATGTAACTAAAATAAAGACTGTATAAAACTTGGACATGATTTGTACTTTAAACACATTATCAAGTAAAACAACCTGACATTTCAGTTTCATCCACTACAGTTACCCTGCTGACGCCTCATGTAGCTCGTCACTCACTGCATTTCCTGTTGAAGCCCGTAGTCAGGTTTGTTCTGAGTAAACAGCCTCAGTGGTTGGTCAGAGGGCAGAGACACAGCCCACCACAGCTTTTGTCTGTAGTGTAGCTGCTGTGTGTGGCTTTGGTCGCTGTTGTCATGACAGACATGCAGAAGGTCTTTACAATGTGTGAAACCAGAGAGACGGAGGAGTTGATTCATTTTAGGAGCCGTTCTCATAACATTTTTACACAGTTGAAGTTTTCAACAGACCAATTATGTCTAAAACATATAATGTTCCCCATGTGTTTTTGTTTGTCATGCTTCTATTGACAGCTGTGGGATGTGTGTCGTCTGTGTCTTTCTGTTTCACTTTGTCTCCATGTGCACATCACATAAATGTAGCGTGAAAGGAAAGTGAAAAGACCAAGGGTAACTGGTAGCATTATTAGTAGAATGGCCCATTGGTAATGTTATAAGTTTCACCTATGTGTTTGTGACAAATTAATATGTTTATAATGGAAAAAAACGATATCTGTTGGGGTTCGTCCCCCCAGTGTGTCCTGTACCAGTTGCTTCGTGCCGGCGGCTTTTTGGACAATTTCACATGTTGAATCCGTGTTAGCCCCAGTAGCTGAATGGTCACGGCACATATACACATGCACAGTTCATGAGCAATGTTGGTGGCTCGAGTCAAGCTGCTAACATTCGTCACATGTCCCTCCCCATCTTTTCCACGACTGACCAATAGGAAACGATGTGCCTGAAAAGACAACTTTAACATAATTTGATGGAGTCTCATATGTTGACAACAAGCCTGAGTGCTCACATAAACACACAAACGGCAACATGAATATAGTCTTATGACATTTCTCTAAAACATCTCAGGTTAACTTACATGTAAGACACAACACGCCACACTTATTCACAGAATTATGAAAAAACAATAACGTTCCAGGTTTTGATTGGTTTTTCTTTTCTGGCAT